GGCCAAGGTGCTAGAGGGATTTGGGAGCCGCCATCAGAGGAGCGTGCTCTTTGGAAGGCGAACCCGTTGGCTTTGCCCCGAGAGCAGGAATTTTTCAAAGGCTGCAATTACCGGGCGGGAGGCAGCCAGCGGATCCCACGCGGGCGGGACGGCGGCCCGGGCTGAGCCCCGGCGGGCTCCGAGGCGTGTGCCGAGCTGCCCGGGTGCCTCCGGCTGCCCCAGGGACACCCAGCCGCCTTCAGGGCAAGCCCAGGGGCAGCAGAGTTGGCTTTGGCGACTCTGCCGCTGCAGATCATCCGACTCGGCAAGAGAGCAGTGGATTTAGACTTGCTCCTGTCCAGGGTTTCTGCTTAATGGTCGTTTTCCTCCCCCCTCTCTTTCCTTTCAAGTACAAAGTTTCTCCAGCCCGCACTCCAGCATCCTAAAGATACTGAGACAGCTGGAAACTCTCCCCAGAGCAGAGAGGGGAAAGCCTGTAACTCTCCTCCAAAAGCAGCTTGTGCGGCCTGGATTGTGCAACCCAAAGAGGGAATTTAGAAGGGAATAGGGATGTGCTCTCCCTGTGCAGAGAGGCAGGAAGGAGAAGGGGGTGCCCTTTGCAGTGTCTTGGAGGTGACAGAGGGCAGGAAACAGGGACTATTGTGGGCAGAACAAAGAACGGCCAAGGAAGGACACAATGGCTGTTCCCCTATCTGCCAGGGCCCAGGCAGGAGCTACCTGCTGGATTTAACCCCTTCTCAGCCTGTCTGCATCCCTCCTGCCTGGCTAATGAACAGCCAGAGGGAGGCTGGGGGTTGAGTGAGAGGAGAAAGAGACGCAGCATCAGGCAGAGGAGATTCTCAGCCCCGGGGCAGGAACTTCCCCGCGTCGGTGAGGCAGCTCACATGCCTGAGCACCCTTAGTGAAACCCAGAGTGAGGGAGGATGAGCAGAGACAGGCCTGACTCAGACCAAGAGAGACGTTTGAGAGAAGGCAGTGCCCCACTGCCACCAAATCACCCTCCTGGGATGGAAACCAGGGGGCCAGGCAGGGAAGAGATGCAGGAACTGCAGGGAAGCAAGAGAGAACAGCCCCACAGCACCAATCCCACACTCTGCAGGCAAAAAAACCCCAACCCGATGCCAAGTTTGGGGAAGCCCAGGGTGCCTTAAAGTCAGGGACAGCGTGGGAAGAGCAGAGCCGGTCACCCCCAGCAGGGCGGGCTCATCCCCTGTGCCTCACATCCCCTCAGCCCTGCTTTGCTCCGCAGGAGTTTGCGCTGCCTCCAGCTCTCTCGGCAGCTCCTTGTGCTCAAGTGCTGTACAAGAGCCGTCACTCAGCGGCTTGGCTTGTCAGGCAGGCACCTCGCCGGGCTGCGGCCCCCCTGGCTTCATGGCCCTCATCTCTAGGCAACCTGACCTGGACACGGCCGGCTCCGGCTCCCTCGTTCCCATGGAAAGTGCCACACAAGAGGCTGCGAAGCCTTTTCTCTGCGCCAGGAGAAAAGGGGCTTTGTTAGCTTGCCCAGGGGGACAGCGTGAGAGCCGAGCCTTAGGGCTCTGGGAATCCAAACGGACAAACGAAGCACAAAAAAAAAAAAAAAAAAGAACCTAGAAGAAAGCCGGAGCTCACAAGAGGGAGAAGAAAAAAAAGAGCAGCCATTCCCAGGATCATCTGTAGGTGCTCAAAGAGCGTTTCACTCCACCACCACTCACCGCCCCCTCGCAGTGACAGCAGAGCATAAAAGAGGTTTCCATTAAATAACTGGACCAAGGAGAAGTGGCAGATCCACTGCCAAGCCCAGGAAACATGAGCAAAAAAAAAAAAAAAAACCAAAAAAAAAAAACCAAAAAAAAAACCCAAAAAAAAAACCCCCACAATTCACAGGGGAAAAAAATGTAGCAAGATAATTCTTGGGGTACAGTGAAGGAGCCAAGACCCCACAAGGTCCAGCAGACTTGGGTGAGGGGGGCATGGGCAGGTCAGTCCTTCCCCCATGGCCTCCACCCTCAGCCACTCCAGATTTCCAAGGAAAACAGTTTGCAAGCAAGAAACTGAATTCCAGGCCAGGAGGAAACACGTGAAGACAGTAGGAAGAAAAGGTTAGGACCAGACATAACTTACTTTTGGGAAGCTGTCTAAGGGTAGAAAAAGTGTCTTAAGAGCAAATGGCAAAGCACATTTCCTAAGGAAACAGCTTTTTTTCCTTTATCCTTTTGAATTTTGCTTCAGTACTTGAAGGACAGAGTAAGGGACTGCCAGGACTCTGGGCAGGACATCAGTAAGGTCAGGAAGCAGACTTGCTGGAACTGCCCTGGTGTGGGTGAGCCCAGCAACTCCAGTCCTGCCCAGTGCCTTGCCAGGAGACCTGAGGAGAGCTTCAGCACATCCCAGCAGCACATCTTCAGCACATCTCCCAGCCCTAGGCTGATAACCCGGGTGTCCTTTGAGCAGCACAACTGTAGAGGCCTGACCCAGACTGTGGCACCACGGGCTGGGCTGCACCTCCTCACCGTGCCTCAGTTTCACCAGCCAAAAGCAGAGCAGCAATGGGAGGGACTGAGGGGAAAGGACCCCGGAGCAGAGTTTGGGGAGGGTTCCGAGTGCAAGGAGCCAAGGTCAGGCTCTCTCCATCACTCACCCTACAACGCTGCATTTCACCCTCCCGAAAACGCAGTTGGCTGCAGAACAGCCCAGCCAGCCTCGGAACACCACCCTGCTCAGCGATATGGGCAAAAGGGAAGGGCAGGTGGTATTTGCTGGGTCACGGCACCACCCGGATCGCACAGAACGCAGGGCCAGGACCGCGGCGGTGCAGCGTGGGCTCCAGCCCGCCCCGAGCCGCTCCATCCCGGCCAGCGGAGGGGACCAGCCCCGTCTCCATCCCTGTCCCCATCCCTTACCATGTCGCGGTTGCGGGAGATCCAGGTGTCGAGCAGCAGCTCCAGCCGCGCCTTGTGAAACTTTTTGGTGGTCTTGACGGCGATGAAGACATCGCGGGGGGAGATGTCCTCGGCCGGCGGCCGCGGGGGGCTCGGCGGGGCCGGGGGCAGCTCCCGCCGCGCTCGGCTCAGCCGCCCGAAGTAATCGGCGAAGCTGCGGAGCCCGGGCGGCCCCTGCGCCGCCGGAGGAGCCGCGGCCGCCGCCGCCCCCAGGCTCTGCAGCGCCCGCTGCGCTCCGCCGGCCTCCCCCCGGGCCAGCCCCGGCCTGCCCGGCGGCTCCACCATGAGCACCAGCAGGCAGGTGAACATGGAGCCCACGAGGGACAGGAGCAGCTTCCTCCCGCAGCTCTTCAGCATCCTTCCTTCCTGCGCTCCGCTCCTCGCCTCTCCGCGCCGCCGCCACCGCCGGCCCCCGCCGCGCCGCCGCCTTTAAACCGCGCCCGCCCCGCCCGGGGAGGGACGGAGCCGGGGCCGCCCCACGCGGGGCGTGGGCACCGCCCGGCCCTGCCCGCGAACCGCCCGCGCCCCTGCGAGCCCCGCGGCCTCCCCGCCAGCCCCTGCGCGCGTCCCGGCTCCTCCGGCCCCGTCCTGCCCGGGCCGGCCTCTGCCCTGCGCATCTCCGCGGCCAGGAGCGCACGGCTGGGTGCGGGCAGGGTGCCCGTGCTGCCTCCTCCTCCTCTTTCTCCCTTTCCCCTGATACCCGGCGATGGGGACACTCTGGTCCCCTGCAGCCCCCAGCGTGCTGGGAGCATCGTTCGCTGCTCTGTCGGCAGCGTTCCCCATCCCGGGCTGCCCAAAGCCCTGCACAGAGATGTTCTCACAGCCCTGTCCAAGAGGTTTCCAGAAAGCTGACCAGCCTGACCAAACTCCAGGCATTGTCCCATCAGTCTCCCGTGAGGCAAAGCATAATTGAAAACAAACACACCAACCCCCCCCTCAAAAAACCGCAGCACTCCTCTCACTTCCACCAAGCTCCATTCTGGTGGGTAAATCTGGGGACAGGGAGCCAGGAGTGTCAGTTCTCATTCTTTCTTCAGGGAGACCTGGAGAGGCTCCCAGACTTGACCAACCTCATCCCAGGCACAGCACCATGCTATGAAGCCTCAAAGTACTGGGATATCTGGAAATAAATGTTGCATAGGTACCAAGCAGCCCCCTCTCCTCGTCCCCAGTGATCACTAATCATGATAATGATTGCTTGTTAAATGAGACACCATTTTTCCAGCCAGACAGTGGGAGAAGTGGTGCCTGAAAGAGAAAACTGGGTTGAAATCGGGTCTTGGATGTGCCACCAGCTCGATATTTTCCTGGCGCCGAATCCCGGGGCCTCTTTCCCCCCTTACCCTCTGCCTCTGCAAGCAGTGAGCTCTTGGGGTTTTCTTTCCCAGGGAGTGTGCAGCTACAGAGAGGCGGATTTGGGTTTGGGCCTGGGCTGCAATCTAATGCCATAATCAGGGGCTGCTGCATTTTTGGGCAGGGACCTTGTCCAACTTGCATTTTTCCTGGTGTCACGTGTTCCATTCATCTCTGGCACTGGATAAACAATACCATAATACCAGGCAGGATGAAGCAGGGAAACTGCTTCCTCAGGCAAGCCCCAGCATTTGCCTCCTCTTGATTTTAGGCCATGCATTCCCTTGGTCAGCACTTGAACCATGATCCCAGGCTAGAAACACTCAGGGGGACTTTGGGGCTTCGTTTTTCAGGGCATTGGCCACATCTGGAGACAGACCTGGGTTGCCAAAGAAGCCTCCCATAATAAAATAAAATTTAAAAAGGCAGTTAGACCGTACAAACACAGGAACCAAATCCCACACTCCCCACTTCCCGCTATTGCTGCCCAGCCTTCCAGTCTCAGTTTGCCTTTTTTTTTTTTTGGGGCGCCCTTTGTCTCCAAACCCTATGGCACAACAACCGCGGCTCAAGAGGCAGCTGAAAAGCCGGAGCAGCAAAACCCTGAATGAAGAAAGAGCCCTTTTCTCCAGGAGCCAAAAGGGGAGGAAAGGCACTTTTCCCCCGACCAGCTGCTCTGCCACTCCCGCAGCCCCGGCGCTGGCTGGGGACACGGGCTGTGGCCAGATGTTGGGGTCCCAGCCGGCGAGTGACAATGCGGGCTCTGTGTGCGCCGGGCTCCGAGCGCGCCGGCCCCCGGGGATGCAGGGGCCGGAGGAGCCGCGGTGCTGCCACCCGGGGATGCAGGGGCTGGAGGAGCCGCTGTGCTGCCACCCGGGCATTCAGGGGCCGGAGGAGCCGCTGTGCTGCCACCCGGGCATGCAGGGGCCGGAGGAGCCGCTGTGCTGCCACCCGGGCATGCAGGGGCCGGAGGAGCCGCTGTGCTGCCACCCGGGCATGCAGGGGCCGGAGGAGCCGCGGTGCTGCCACCCGGGGATGCAGGGGCCGGAGGAGCCGCTGTGCTGCCACCCGGGGATGCAGGGGCCGGAGGAGCCGCTGTGCTGCCACCCGGGGATGCAGGGGCCAGAGGAGCCGCTGTGCTGCCACCCGGGGATGCAGGGGCCGGAGGAGCGGCTGTGCTGCCACCCGGGGATGCAGGGGCCGGAGGAGCCGCTGTGCTGCCACCCGGGGATGCAGGGGCCAGAGGAGCCGCTGTGCTGCCACCCGGGCATTCAGGGGCCGGAGGAGCCGCGGTGCTGCCACCGCTGCCGGCACCAGCGCTGTCCCTGCCTTCCATCCCTGCCTTACCCCAGCCCGGCTCTGCCGCTCGGCTCAGCCCCGCTGCCCAGGGCCCGTGGCGAGGGGAGGTTGTTCTTCCAGCAGCACTGTCCTGCCAGAACAAGACTCCTCCGGGATTGTTCAGCCGCTGGCCGCATCCCCACAGGTTTCCCCTCCAGGCTCCTCAGCTCCTGGCTCGGCCCTCACCTGCCCCGAGGCACCGATTCCCCCGGGGAAACCCTGCTTACTCTGCAGTGCGCACAGGATGGCACCTGAGGGGCAGGGAGCCAAAAGCGGGCATGTGGAGGATGGCCACAGGAATGTTTGGTGCCCGGTTCACTGGTAGTCAGACAATTTTTTGGGTACAAAAAGCTTAAGCCCAACAGGGGTGACTCCAGGACCGGACAAATTCGGGTGGCCCATAAATACAAGGGGCAGGGGAGATGGGTTCTGTCACAGAAGGGATGCCCAGGCTGGACCTGGAGGGGTATCTCACTCCTCCCAAAAAGGATCCCATTTTGGACACAGTCCATAACTCCCCCACGGAGATGTGAGGTGAGGCTACAGGGTGGTGGTGTGCTCCCCACTCTGCCTGACTCCACAGGGATGGTTCCAAGACAGAACATTCTGCTCAAATCCCCCAAATCTCAAGGATATGATCGCCCCCACTTCAGATTAATTTCACTGAAACTCCAGACTAGTTTTCCACTGCAGATAGCTGGGTTCAGCCCCGCACCAAACCCAGAGCTGAGGCTACACGTGGGGCATCTCCCTTTCAGCCATACCACGGTATTAGGTCGGTTTAAATTGGTTTAAACTCTCCGCATCGCCCCTGCTCGCAGCCTGACCCCGGCGCTCAATAGGTGGTCCCTAAGAGGCTCCCAGGTTCTCAGGGTTGCTAAAAATGGTTAATAAATCCCCAGTAATAAAGTGTTCAGGTCATCCGAGAGAAATGCCGCGCTCGAGCTGCAAAGCCGCATTGTGTGCCCGCAGCGATTTACGCGCTCCGTCGGACAGGGGTTAAAAGCTCTGTCAGGCGCCGATTTCGCCGCTGTCGCATTGTCGGGGGTGTTTAACGGGGTTCGGCCCCGACGTGCGGCCGGGCGGCCACTGCTCCCACTGTGCAGCTCGGGTTTGGGAGGGAGATGTAGAAGGAGGGCGGCCCAAGAGCTGGATCTTGCCCGTGGTCTGCCTCTCACCCCCCGCTTTTTCTTTCTGGGATTTTCTGCGCGCACAAAAGAGATTTTTGCATCAATTACTGGTAGGAAAGCGGCAGAGCCCCGCGGCAGAACTGCGCGCTCCCGTTCCGGGCTTGGTTAACTTCCCATTGTCTGATAGGCTCCGCTATTCAGGGCCAGGGCAAGGGCTCAGCTTTTTTCATCTACCGCGGCTTTTTTTAAACACCTTCGAAACAAAAAACCTTCCTGCCCTCGTAGCAGAGGCCTGGCAGTGCCTTTGAGGTGGAGCATGTCAGCATCTCCCTGCCCAGCACGCAAATCTCTCGCAAGGAGTGCCTGCGCTGCATCTCCTGATGCTGAACTGTCCCCACGCCCATCAACCCCGATGCGCTCCAGCGCTGGCACCACCAGGTCCTGCTGCAAGCCCCCTCCACCCTCCGTGGCCTCAGACCCTACATCGCTTTTCCCCTCCACCTCTGGGGTCTGCTGGTCCCCTCGGCGGGGCGGGAGGACACGATTCGATCCGTGCAGGGCACTGTGAGATCCCACGGGGCCGGGGGCTATACAAATGCAAAGCGTCATTATTTTCCCGGGGCTGAAGCAGAGGCCTGAGAAAGGTTGAGTGAGAGAGGCAGCGAGCAGGGAACAGCGGGGGATTTAGCTCCTGAAAAGGAGCCAGGGAGAAAAGCGGGCGAGGAGTTTCATTGTGCGCTGGGCAGAGGGGGTCACGAGCAAGTTAAACTGGTTAATGTATTGGAGCAGCTTCCTCCGAGCTGCTGGGAGCAAGCAAAGCCCTCAACAAAAGGCCGAGGGAGCATTCTTGCGGGGAAAGTGGGCTCTCTTTAAAAGGATTTGATTTCTTTTCTGTCAGTTGAATGGAATTTGGTGGTGACTCCTCCAGGTCTAAGAATTTGGGGCTTTGGCGGTGGTGGTAGCGGGAAGGGACGGTCCCTGTCTCCCCCCCCCCCTCCCCAGCTCCTGCATTTTTCTCCATCTCCAGGCTCGCTGCCTCCAGATTACAGCTCCCGGTGCGGCGGGGGGAGAGGAGCTGGGGGAACACAAGCGGCCCCATAGATGCTCTGATCCTAAAAGAAAGCGAGGGGCACGGGGCCGTCCCTGCCCAGCCTGGTTTCTCATGCTCCCTATTCAGCCCAGGGAAGGGGAGGTAGGTGTGGGGAGAGGGGAGGCTGGTGGGGCATCCACTGCTGATTTAATGCCTCTCCCAGTGCTTCACCACCGAGGTTGATCTCAAGGGAGCTTTGGCAGGTTAAGGTGTGCAAGGGGAGCTTTGCACTCCTTCCTTTGGGGCATGGAATTTTGATGCTAAAACCGTGGATTGAAAGTAAAAACATGAGGGAAAGGGAATTTGAACTTGCAAAAGTAGCTGGGTGCAACCCTTCTTTCCCACAGCCTGTGCATCTCTCTCCTCCCAACAGCAACTCCTGGGGCAGCTGAGGACTATCTTCACAAACCTGGCTTTGTGACCCCAAATCCCTGGGCTGGTGGGCAGGAGCACTTCCTCTCCATGGGTGCAGCTGCTGGGCCATGGGGGGATCACACTGCTGCCAGCCAGGGGTGCTGGGCTGGGGGCAGCAGCCTCTGCCTCACTTGGTGCTGACCCCAAGGGCAAGCCAGGGAGATTCAGAGCTGCCCTAATCTCCCATCTGGAGATTTGCTGCTGCACACTGCTCAGACTGACTGGCAGCGTGGATTTGGGATGGAAAAAGACAATAATTAAATAAGCAGTGGCTGTGACTGGTAACCCTGCACTGCATGAGATTATCATAGAGCCAGAGCCTTCAGCAGTGCTCAGGGAGCTGGACAGACAGACTGACTGAGCTCAGCTTGCTGTGCCTCAGTTTCCCAAGAGGTGACATTGGCAAAGACACCATGGTCCCTGTCCCCTGGGCTGGTGCCTGTTTGGGAGATTCCCTTGTGGGCTGTGCATGCAGCCTGCACATGTCAGTCTGTTTGTGTCCATCTGTACAGGCAGAGCAGGAGCACAATGAGCTGAGATCACAGTTTGCTGTAGATGATGGCCAGCCTGTCCCAGGCTCCTTCCAGAGGTGTGGTCAGCAGAGCTTGCACCTCCTGGCCTTTAATTTTTGGCCTCTCATGCTTACTGGCCCCAAATTTTCTCATGCTCCTGTTGTGTGCTGTCCCTCTCCGCTTTGCCTTTCTGAAAAGGAGCCAGAAGCTGATGTCAGGGGAAGTGTTTGATGATTACCCCAAGGAGAAGGCAGGAATCAAATCTCATGCTGGGCTGGACTGGATGGACAAAGGCCCAGTGAACCCCATGTCCAGCCTCCAGCAACAGAAGAACTGTCATATATGGTTTGTTTAGTTTTTGGGGTTTTTTTGTATATGTATAAGGAACAGCTACCAAAGGCAGGCTGCTCCCAGAGCCCACCCCAGCCAAACCCTGCACTGTGCTCCCCTCCAGACCAGCACCTGCCTTAACAACTCCTTAAATCTCATGTTTTTGCCCATGTCTGATGCCGTGGCTGGTCCCATTCCATGATGGGCCACTCTTTTCCTGGTCACAGCTGCCTACAGCTCCAGGTCTCCCAAACCTCCTGGGGATAAGCAGCCAGGCAGGAGGATCAGGGATGCATTTTAACTCCCTGCTCAGACCTGAGCATCTCAGGGCCTCTGGTAGATCCCAGGGCCTCCTGTGCACACCCTCTGCACCCAGCCCAGATCAGATATGTGTCACTCTTGCCCTGAAACACTCCTGCAAAAGCTGCTTCAAAATGTTGGTTGCTCACAGGGATTTTGCCTTCTCTCTGGGCCCCCACAGCTTCTTGGCTTCTTCCTTGCCCTTGGGGTGTCCCAATTTATTTGCTGAGGTGTTTTTCAAAGGTAGATGAGTGAGTCAATATTCACCCACCACTTCCCCCAGCTTGCCTTGGTATTTCCAAAAGCCCACCCCTTCCAATTTCCCCATTGCACCCCTGGGAAATTTGTTTGCTCCCTTCCCACTGCCGCTGCAAAAGGGATTAAAAGCAACAGTTCATTTTTCATGTGATGCAAGTTTAAATAGGAATTTCACTGCTCTGGCTTCGCTGGTTTCCGGGAGGCAAAGCTGAGAGGGGATGGCATTAGCGCTGTGCAAGGCAGGGAGGAGGAGGAGGAGGGAGGTGGGAGCTGAAAGGGGGAGAGGCGGCGGGGGGACGTGCGGGGGTGAAGATGGGATTAAAACATCCCATTAGAATTTCTGTTTTTGGAAAGCTCACAAAAATGTTGACATGTAGCATGACTAACATAGTGCAAATGTCAGCCCGGCTCTGCGAACGGGGGCCCTGCTCCCCTCCCAACACGCTGGCCCCCTTTTAAGGCAAAAATATACAATGAGCCGGCACAATGGCCGAATTCCAGAGAGCCGCGCTAATTGTTCCTCTCTCACGTAGGGCTAATTGCTTTGCTGAAACCATTCGTGCCTGGCCTGGATCCCACGTGTTTTTACCATTTAATTAGGACAGAAAAGCTGGGGCCAGGAAATGGGGTGAGATAAAGACTGGCAGAGATGGAGGATAGGTCGGGTGCCCTAACCTGGAGAGGAGACAATGCTGTCTGTGCTGGGAGAGTGGGTAGGGAGCAGTCCCTGCTCCGCACCAGCCTCCAGTGGGATTAGAGCTGGGCAGGCGCTGGGGATGGGAGTGGGAGGCTGTGACAGCTCTTGAGGCTGCTAAGGCAGAGCTGTGACACAGAGAAATGGTGCCAGGCACAAACGTTTGCAAGAAACACCTTCATCCAGCTGCTCAGGGACTGCTCCAAGGCTCTGGCACACACAGCACGTGCATTTCACCTGGTGCTATAATTAGAAAGTCTGTCCACTTGCAGACCATGTGCAAAGCATGAGCAGGACTCAGAGAGGGAAACAATAGATGGCCA